TATGCTAAATGTGTAAGTAAATCGTTAATTCAACAGTCGTCGTAAATTATGAAGCTTCACTAATTATATATTTTGTAGAGATAACCATGGTAACATTATATTTGAATATAAAGATTTCCCTGATATCGGTTATACTTTGAATACATTAGGATGAAAGCTATAGCTATCTAATCTAAGAGTTTTCACTGGTGGATAATAGTTCAACGATAGCCTATCAATCGATTCAGCTATATTTATAATCCAATTGTTTAGAAACATATAAAGGTGCATGCTTAGACATTTTGAAAACTATGGGAAACACAATTATATAACTTAAGTAACAGCCAACTTAATAATAAACCCTACTATTTATTTTATTTATCTTGATACTGAAAAAAGAAATGGAAATTATCAAAAACAAGAAACAAAAATACTAGCATAGTGAAATAACCATTTATATTATGGTTTGTTTCATAGTTTCTGAAATTTATAAATGTACCTTAATAATTTATCATTTTGTACTGATCATTCCTTTCCTACCTCGATGGCTTCCTGAATATGACGCTTGATCTTCCGGGAGTGCTTCTGAGCCGAAGCTAGGCTTTGTTGTATATCCTTCACTAAACTCATGGCAAGTTCTCTGGCGCCTCTCACAGGATTCTCCACAATTTCAGGTAAACCCTTCTGGATATCCTTGCCGATATTACCCAAATCCAGTAATGCCTGGGCCTCAAGGCACTTGAAGTCGTTCTCCAGTTGCTTCTCGAGCAGCTCCAAAACCTCTATCATTCTGGGCAAATCAGCTGACACTGAACTGACAGCAACCAGAAAGAAGAGAATCGCATACATCTTTGGTATCTACCCTCAACCACAATAACTAATTACAAAGCATTAGCACGCTATATGCTTTTATCTTGGCAAATAATATATTCACCATCACCAAGGTTGCAGTGAACTTATTTGAGTAACTGATTGAGCGAAAAACAAATAATTAGTACCATTTATCAATATCAAAATCAGCCGCATAATAATTAGGTTCATTAGGTAGAATATGAAAAATATATTTTTACAGGAATTTCCTTGCACTTTCTGATTACAGTTATGTATTCCAAGAACAAAAACTCAAACATTAATGATACACACTAGAATTTTCATTCAAATTTTTATTAGGGGTGTCAATGTTTCCATCGTAGTTTGTAACCAATTATCAGGGCTAATATTGAATCAGAAATTTAAAATATAAGGTACGGACATACAAAGACAGAAGTAAAATGTTAAGAAAAAAGAAAACAATTAAAGATAGATGGTAATGATGAAAGTAATAATAGAAATACAATTTGTTGTGGCTAACGGTGATATATATATATATATATATATATATATATATATATACACAAATTTATACTGTAACATTGATAATACACGTTGTTTATGATTCAACACGTTAGGAATATTCGGGCGCCTTGCCCTAATCCATTGCAATTTAGGAAGTGCACTATCCTCGTTAGGTCCATAAAAAGAGCTCTAATTTTTTACTTAGGAAGCATGGTCCAAGCTATTGTATTTTATCGCCCACATTTGGACATTGAACCGTCATTCTTTAAGATGAAATCCGTCTGGCTGCACCACTGTAAAATCCGGTCTTAGGTTAACATATTTCTATTGATTTCGGAAAAACTTTGGAAGTGAGTGGAACCTTTTTAAAACATTACTGACCACATCGGTATCACAATATACAATCTGGCTTCAACATAAAACATACAATCTGGAAATGAAACAATGTTCCTCATAATACAACGCACATTGAGGTAGGACTTTATCTTGAACAGTAGTTCATGTACAATCAGATAAGCACACTGGTTGCTGAATGGCTGCAATGTTGCACTCTTATATTAGTGGGTCCGAGGTCAAGACTGAGCTCGAACGTATATCTTTATATCCAATTATGATTTTGTTTTTTAGGTAATTCATGTCATTATATTATTACAAATTGTAATTCATTCAATAATTAAATTAATTTTAATATTATAATTATTATTATCAGATACGGGTAAATCCATTTAAAATCACTCAGATTTCAACATATTCAACAACAACAGGAAAATTCATATAATTATTCACTAATTTAATTTTATAAAAGTTTACATGATGATTTTTCTGAATAAACGGAAGATAGATACCTAATTACTTAAATATAATATCAGATCGAGGGTTATCAAAATACAGTAAATATAATTAAGGTTACATATCCATCAAATACTTATATATTTCACTTTTAATTTCACACAAATTCAATGAAATAGCATTTTAAATAACGTCATTTCCTTTGGATGGTGGATATTAAATACTTTTTTTTTTCAATCTTAAAACAAAATTTGAACGTTTACATTTAGTAAGAAAATTCCATTGAATTTCCTTGGATACATGTGATTTACATTAAATAATTTTAGTTTTTAGAAATTATTATTTATAATTTTTTCGTCAGTTCCCGTTACCTTCTAAAAATTTATTTATTCGATATTATTTTTCTAAAATTCTTCACTTTCCAACGATACGTATACCTTTTGACTATTATTTCCGGAGATTCATTTTCTACCCGGATAAGCATTTTTTTTTTATCCTTTATTCAATTATCAGTTTTTTTCGAAAGTTATATTTAGCTATTTTTTATAGTTACTGCCAATAAGAGAGAGTTTTTTTAAAAAATAACACAGAGGCAATTTTGCGGGACTTCGTTATTTCGACTCGTGGACTTCAAAACATGTATTTCCGTTGAAAACTGAGATTCGAAAATTTTCACGATCGCAGTACTTTTAATTACTATATATTCCATACATAGGTAAGTAAATGTAAAAATATATGACAACAAAAAGAGTCCTCAATATTGATGTTTTTAAGTAAGTTTATTCGGCTATTAATGAAGTTGAATGGATATCAATATTGTTCCATGTTTTATGAATCATGATAATACATTCAAATTCTTCAATGTAAATAATTATTATTCAGATCATTAGTTCTATTGTTTTTTAATTATCAACCACTTGTCAAATGCCTTAACGTGTCATTTGAACGAAATAATCAATTCAATTTATTGACTAATAATATCAATATCGTTCAACAATATTTGATTATCAATAGTTAGAAATATGATACATAGTTGAATTATCTATAATAGTTTATTGCATATTACGTCAAACAAACTCTAAAACCCACCAGGATAACATTTTGTTTGCAGGATAAAATTCTCTAAACTCAACTAAATCAATCGTATTCACTCAGAAACACATATTAAATAAGTATTGAGAGCTTACTATCTACCGTTCGCCAATCATGGTAAGCTGGGAGTCAATACAATACATATCAACAAAAAATTCGTTTTTATTTTCTTCTCTTATCGGTACAAATTTCACATTTCTCTTAAAGTGAAAAAAACTGAATTTGTGTACAAAATAGAACAGTAAAGAAAAATAACTTCGTCTTGGGACAATGTTCCTTAAGAATAACAGCTGTTCAAATAAACAAAATATTGACAAAAGAACAAAAGAATAAAGTATAAAGAAAAAGAAAAACCTTTGGATTATGTCGAATACTTAAAATAAATGCAGAGTAGTAAAGAAAAATTAAATATGTTCTAACAATCGATTGGCTAAAATTCGTAATTATAAGCAGATAAATGAATAATAACAGTAATAAAATATGGAAGTTAGTTTCGTTATTGAAATATAGTTAATAAAGTTGTATAATAATACATTCAAATATAGAAATAAACGTATTGAATTAGAAATAAACAGAACGTCCATTTTTCCTCAGGTGAAATTACAGACCTAGTAAATCTTTTGTCCCTTTAATCAGCCACCTTCATCACTGCATATCTTGAGCTATATATTTCTATTTATCCGCAATCAGCTGTATTGCATCTTTGTGAACTATCCATCTGGTGTTTGGCCTTCAATGTGGCCTGTTGCCTATTATTGAGGCATTCATTGTTGTTTAGAGGCTTCCAGATGGATTAGTTCCAATTACATGCCCAATCAATCCTAAACCTCCTTGCCTTCATGTAATGAAATATTGATGGACCATTTTATTAAAGCAAGTTTAGAAACGAGAGAGTTGGGTTGGTTCTAAAGTTTATTATGGAAGGATAGGTATATGGATTGGGCCAAATCTGAAACATAAGGAACATTAAGGTCGTTATGCATGATTTTATTTGTGACAAAGTAGGGAGCATTTAGGATTTTACGAAGGATTTTGGATTTGTTAGGATTGGATACGAGGGAAATTTAATAGTTTAGCAGAGCCCCCAAAGCTCGATCTTGTAAGTCCATTTAGGCCTTTTTATGCTAATATATAGGATTTTCTGAAGAGGCTGTTGAGGAGGTTGAGGCTGAGGATTAGAGGTTTTGGACTTGGATTGGGAGGTTTGAGGTGCCTGTCGTTGAGGCTGCTGCTTACTGATGTAAGACTGGGAGGGAGAAATTCTGGGATTCTGACGAGGAAAGTCCTTAGTTTTAGAGATGGGTGGTTGTTGCTGGTTGACGAGTTGAGGCAAAGTCGGGAATGCTGCGAAAATTTCCTGAGTTTCAATTTCAAGTGCCTCAGTGCAAGTTTTCTGAGCAGGTCCAAGACTTTTCACTCTTAAGTTACGTGACCTCTGTTTGTAAAGATTTTCACCAAAACGAGCTTCGCCACAAAGAGCACTCGTCGCAATCTCTTAGTTTCTGGCAAGTGCCTGAATCGTGCAGGCCGGCGCATTTAAAGCATCTAGCCTCGTGATGGCAATAGGCTTTTGTATGCTCTATATTTTGACACTTAGTGCACTGTACTATTAAAGAATTCTCTTTTGGTTGCTCAAAACGGATTGCTCACTACAATAAACGTTACTCACCTGAACGTACGTGAATGTAAAAATGTAAAATTGTTTACAATATAGTCACTGTTGATAAAATCTTACAGCATAATTTTAAATAATAAGCACGTTGCATAGTAAAACAGCGACGTGTACGTTGAACTGCATTTGCTGCGATAAATAGAAATATCCAATGAAAATTAATTTAGAACTTACTCGTTTCTAATTTACATGAGTTTTAGTATATTAGCTGTACCAAATAAATACACTACGAATATATTACCTTTAGAAGTATTATATCTATTTCCTTAAGCTCCTCCATTCAGGGTATATATAACAAAATATCAGAAGTTGAAACTTTTATTCCATTTTAACAGTTTCTGTAAAACATTTTAGGAAAATAAGTTTTTAAAATAAAAGCTCTGCAAAATGTGGTTGTAAATTGACAAGATTCTTTATTTGGAGAAGGTAACGAGGGTAAAAAAACAGAAAAAAATATTGTCAAATATATATCAGTTGTATTTGCATTCCTCATGTTGTTTTACACTCGATACAGCAACTTCGAAACGCCTTATCCAGAAACCAATTTTTCGAGTTTCTGAAATAATAAATGTGTCATTAATGATTGATACTTATATATAAGATAAAATATTCATAAATACTTAATAAAAAGTAAGCTACAATAGTACAGATTCACTCATGTTACTATTAAGTGACAACAATCTTAAAAAGTCGCATAATTTTACATAACTTGTTTTGAGAGTGATATTCTTGTAGAAAACATCGTTTAGAGGAGAATCTCTTCAAGGGGAATATCTTAGTTATAATTTTGCCTAGTTGTTTGAACTTTAATAATTTATATTACTATTATTAGTTCCTAGAATCCCTCAGGTGGGGTATAGGGCTGTCACAAAGTTCTGCCACGTGTCTCGATCTTTAGACAGCTTCTTTTACCTTCTCGATTTGTTTACTACTTGATCCTCTGTTCATTCGTTAAACATGATATTCCATTCCATAAATCTTTTTGTTCCCTCTCATAGAACGCTTTCTTTAAAAAATCCTTTGTCATGCATGCTACCTTTTTCTGGAATTCATTACCTACCTCAATACGCAAATCCTCTTAATTAACGTAATTTAAACAATAATTATTCCTCCGCCTCCTAAGCAATCGATCTTTCAAATACATGTAAGAACAAAATTTCGTATTTAAGAGCTGTCGCTTTAATTTGACTGTTATGTAGATGTTATTTATATATTATCAATATCAGAACAAATATGTGAATACACTCATATATATATATTTATGTGCAAATTATGTTTACTTATATGTTTACTTGTAATTAATTTTTTTTTTATGGTTTGATTATTATGTCATCTAACAAATTATTTTTCTATTTTCTTATAATACCATCACGTGTCATATTTTTGTTAATTATAATTATTCTTAGAGGACTAAATGTCCTAGAATAAAATTTACTTTTCTTTTTTTCTTTCAAAAATAATTAATCAAAACTAAGTACTACAATAGAATATAAGTTTGGAGAATCACGATTATCTCACAGAGCAGAAATTGACACAACTAGTAACTATTAAAAATAGTTTATGGTTTAGACCCATTTTTATCAAATTATTAACATCCGCCTAAAACTTCTTAAATAGCTTCATCTCATCGTAACCTGCAAATATTTTATTTACAAATATTTCAGAAAATGGGGCGTTCTCAAATTGGTGATCGCCAAACTTTGTCTATTTAATTAAGTACTAAAAACTCATGAATACCCATTTGATTTCGAATTAAAAGGTAATATAGTCAGAATTTAAAAAAAAAAAAAAAAACGTGTCATTCAAAAATATTGTTTTACCTATATAACATTTTGTTATTTTGACATTTTGGGGATGGAAGTCACGCCAAAAGAACCAATATTATTGTAAGTGACCTTTTGTGATTTTGTGATCATATTATCTTAGGATTCGAGTTAAAAGAAAATGGTTATTCGTGGGTTTTTGGTACCTAATTAAATAGACAAAGTTTGCCGATTTCCAGATTAAAAAGGCCCCAATGTGGATAGATAAAATAAAATATTTGTAGATTACGATGGGATGAAGCTTTTTATGATGTTTTATGCGGAGTTAATAATGCGATTAAAAGAGGTCTGCACAAGGGATTAAAAGGAAATCCACAGCCACTTAAATAATTAAATCATTGAAATATTTCATATAAATTGATTACCGATACGTGCAATCTTAAACCATTTGAACTAGTGTAATAGATTGTATTTTATGATTAAGAATCTGGGATTCGTACATGGAGAATACATTAATCTTCTAGAGAAAAATGACTAGTTGGTGAGGATGTGGTGTAGACTTGCGAAGACATTATTAGTAACCAATAACTATAATGCGCGTTTTTAGTTTGTTACTATTTAGATGTAGATATTTCAATAATTGCTAACCAGTTTGTCGACTTAAAGAAAATTTTTTAAGAGTTTCATAGTCATCATAATAATCAAAAGCAACCAAGAGATACTTACTGCATTAGTTTCTTTGACAACTGTCTGGATTTTGCGAATAAAGTCCTTTAAGTCCCTGACAAACAAATTGAAGTCATCGTTGACGTGGGCCATAACGATGTCACTGGCAGCAGCTGGCCCTAGAGCTATAACTTCCTTGGCGTCTGCAAAAGCATGCGAAGAGATCAGCTGCAGAAGTTGGTCTTTTTTCAAAACGGCTTCCCTACCGGCCTCATCTAGTTCTTGTGTGAGGACGTCCAAAACTCCCTTCAATACGAGGTCAGCTGGTGTCAATTCCTAAACAGAATAATCCTTTAGACAATTATCATAGAATATTTGGAAATGTTTTTAAACAATAAAAGAAAACCTAAATTCGTTAGTGTTATAATTTCAACATTTGTGAGTCATTTTAGTGATATTTCTAGTTGGAAAATTGACAATATTTGTACAGATAGTGAGTAAGTTGATTCTAGAATAGGTGATTGCAGTGTTGAAATATATTTACTGTGAATAAAGGTATAAATAATCCCACTAGTAATATCAATAAAAATAATAATAAAAAATATTGAAATTGGACTCATTCTGTAAACTGAAACGCTTAAAGAATATCTATATCTGAAAATTGTGCCAAATTAATAATTTTTCGAAACTTTGGAGTACGAAAAAAATCTAATTAGTTACAAATTAGCAATAAGAATAATTATAATAATATAAATTGACAATAAGGTGCGATTTATAATATAGATTCAGAAAGAAATTAAAAATTTATCCGAATTGTGATTTTGTTGAGAATTTAATCATTTTTTAAAAAAATAAATTAACATTTAGGTTTCATCATATTGCTTTTCTAACTTTGTGCACAAAATATGCATTACATGACAAATTTAAAGGCTTTAAAGAAAACACATTAAAGTGTCAATTTATAAGTTTAGTTTACTGGGTGTCCGATTCGGTACTTAGGCATCGAGGGCCAAAATAATATTTAAAAAATTGGATAATGTTATTCAAAAATTGATAAATTAATAAGAAAATGAAGATCTCAATACTTTTAAAGATCATTCCTGCCATACAGTCTTTATCTTAAATAATTTTTTAATTCACTTACATTTATGGCTAGCTGGATGTGGTATTTCATTGTACCGAGATTGGAGTATGCTGAATCGATAAATTCTTGGGCATCAGTGGTGACGTGGATGATGAGTGTGTCCGCAGCGATAAATGGGCTTTCCAAGAAAGCAGGGACATCCACCTGAAGGTGAACAAATACAGTTTTGATAAACAGTTTGGAGCGAGCCCTGAAGGCGTCTATGTCTTCACGGAGCCTGTCCTCCAGGTCGTAGACGGTGCTCCTCGGTGTAGAAGAGGCAGCCAACCCGACCAACCCGACGATGAGGAGAGTGACCTGGAATACCTTCATTGTTGAAATCGGTTCGGTAAGTGATGAGTTCTGCCTCAGCCTCCGTTTATATAAACCAAACTTTGTTTGTAACCTTGAGGACATCATGGCGCATTTATTAGCGTTTATGTTCGATTACCTAATAACTATAAAACGATTCGCTAAATGTACAACTGGCAGATATTTTTTTTTCAGCGTGATTTTTTGAGACTGTTCCCTAATTTGTCTCACACAAATAAATGTTTTTGATATTGTACGTTTTTAATACCTATTTTTTTTTTTTGTTTTATGTCCCTTATTTTCTACAAACTAGATAAGATATGATACATTTCTTCTTTTTTTTTTTCCTTTTTACCCTCCCTCAATTGGACTTTACGAGATTTTCACTGGACCAGAAGTAAGGACGAGAGATAATTACAGAAATTAGAATAACGTAAATATAGAAGGAATATGACGTTTAATAAGGAATTAACCAGGCAACCTCCCCCCTCCCTCCGACAGGATGAAATCCTTTAAACCAAAGAGCCCACTCCCAATTCTAAAAAAATGTTTGGAAAGATCTCATCCTGAATTTCTTTCTGTATAGAATCCCAAAACATTTCTCCTCAACAGTTTAGATTTTGTTGGACACTCCAACAAGGATTTTGAGTTTTTTATTATATTTCCTCAGCTCTAGGAATCAACCAATACAATTCGATTGCATTTCTGGACATACCATATGCTTTTGTTCAGGGCTGCCGGGCTGCTTTTTAAGCCTGAAATCTATCAACCCCAGTCTTTTACCTCATCCTCTGTCTGTTGAAACGGCAGTGGCTCCTCTACTTATACATTATCTATATATAAGAGACCAGATTTTCCAGTAAACACTTCAACGTATGTGACTACAGCGCTCTCTCTCAAACTCCGCTGAAAAACCAGTGACGTGATTGAGAGTGTAGCTCAGGGATTTTCTGGACTTCTGTATTTGCCTCCAGAGATGTAGAGACCAGCAGGAGATCGGGGTTCCCTAATTGTAAATAGCGTATATAGTATTGTAAGTAAGTTTTGTATTCCTGGGAGAGGATAAAATAAACATGTGTGCTTAGAATCAGTTTCAGACGTCAAGGATCAAATTTGGTTTGATTTCTGTCGGCCTGAGGTCAAATCGATCTAATGGCCATATCATTTACTATCGTTCACCCGATTTTCATTAAATTTTCAGGGATTATGCGGATTGGCGCACAGATGATACCATCTTAATTTTATCAAATTCCATCCAGCACTTCTAATTGAGCATTTCCAGTACTTAAATATGCCAATATTTCAGAAACGGTTCCTTCCATTTGACTCAAGGTTAAAAGAAAGGTGTTTTGGTAAAATAATAATTCTGTGTAGAGGTAATTGAATTCTCTTCTCTTCTTTCTCTTACGTAAGCGCTAACGTGTTTTCCTTGATACGTCTATATCTCTAAATCCACTAGTTAAATTTACTCAAATTGATTAACGGATAATTTAGTAAGTAAAATTTTTACCTAATTCTATCCACTACCCTAAAAGAAATACTTCCGCTTTGGATCAGTAAACGGATTATTAACGCCTATAGTTTGAAAACGGCTCGTTCCATATGAACCAAACTGGGAGGAAATTTGGGAGATAGTTTAAAAATTATTTAGTAGCTATTTTATTGAATTTCATTTGATAATTACAATTAATATAAATAACTGTTAACAATATAGTGGATGTTAAATGTGGAAGGATGAAATTCTCTAAATTAAACTAAATCTATAGATTATTGTGTGATTTCATAAACACTTTTAATAGATTAGTTTTGAAAACTTACTACCTAACTTTTGGCATGATGTAAAGTTGGGAGTCAATATAATTTATGTCAATAGAAAATTCGTATTATAGTATTTTCTTCGCTTATCGGTACACACTTCAGATCTCTCTTTTAGTGAAAATAACTGATCTTGGCATTACTCTGTGGAAATTACGGACCTATTAGATCTTTTGTCGCTTTAATCAGCCCCTTTTATCACTGCATATATTGAGCTATATCTTTCTATTTATCTGCATCCAGATGTTGGTTGTTAGAAGGCTTCCAGATTACTCCAATCTACATGCCCAACCAATCTTAACGTCCTTGTCTTCATCTGATGAGATATTGAATGACCAGTATTTTAAAGCAGTTCTTTATTGATTTTTCTGCATCATGTGTTGGTACTCTGATCCCAGATCGCTCCGGTTATCCTGCGAATGATTTTCCTCTCACATCTTTTAGTACTTTTTTCGAGTGTGTAGGTTTGATTAATGACTCGCAACCGTATATCAGAAGTGGCTTTATCATAGACTTGTATCATACACTCTTAATTTTTTGGTATCTCAATATCTATAAAAGAAAGAAGAAAGCTCTGTTTGGATCCGTATGATATCAGGAAATTTAGCAGTCCTCCACATCTTCAGACCGTAAGTCCAGATAGGTTTTAGGATAGTTTGTAGATTAGTAATATTTTTTGAACTGAAATTAGAGATTTTCTAGTTCTTATCTTTTGATTCTAGTATGTGGGTTTCATGTTGGTCTCCTTTCTAAGAGAATGGCAAGATACTGGAGTATAACTGAGAAAGGAATTGGAGGACATAATCTTCGTCGAAATATGAGGGTAACATTTTTGTTTCTAGATTCATTACTTTGATGTGCCATTTATTACACCAATGCTCAATAAGGGAGAGGTGTCTTTGTATATTTAAGGATGGTATTTACGGATCTGAGTTGGATGTTAGGATGGCGGTGTCACCAGAAAATGTTGCCAGCAAGGTATCGGGAATGACAGGAGTATCAGCGGTAAAAAGGATATACAGAACAGGACCCAAGGGGCTATCTTGAGGAACACCGCCCTCAACTGAATAGGTAATTGTAAAATTGTTACATTATTAATATTTATATGTTGTTATATTAATAATAGTTATTTATATTACTACCCTAATTTAAGGAATAGTAATTAAGTATTAATAGTAATTAAGTATTTATATATTTTATTTTCTAAATATCTTATTGTTTTTTATAGTTTTTATAACGGCATACAAATGGCCTGTATGTTTTAGTAAAGAAAATTGCATTATTTCTACAATATTTTTTTTTGACAAGGAAAAGTTATTTTTTATTATATTTCGGAAAGCAGAATTCTCTAAAATAATAATAGGTTGAAACTTGTATTCTATTTTAACAGATTTTGTATAACTATTTAGGAAAATAATTTTTTTAAATAAAAGCCCTACAAAATGTGGCTGTAGATTCGGGTAAAGATTCGGGGCTTGGAGAAGGTATCAAAGGTAAAAAATACAGAAAAAAAAATTGTCAAATATCAATCAGTTATATTTGCATTCCTCATGTTGTTTTACAATCGCTGGAACAACTACGAAACACCTTATTAAGAAACCACTTGTTGGAGTTTCTGAAACAATAAATTTGTCATTAATGATTGTTACTTATGTATAAGATAAAATATTCATAAATACTTAATAAAAAGTAAACAACAATGAAATTTCCGAGATGAATGAACTGAAACGAAACCATTAAAAACAATTAAAAAAAAAATATTTTTGATGGTTACAAAATAATACATAAAATACTAAATATATTGTATAGTGTAAATGTTTCATTAATCGAATAAAGTACATTATTTTACCTCTTAATGAACTGTATCGCTAATGTTACTATTAAGTGACAACAATCTTAAAAAAAGTCCCATACTTTTACATCACTTGTTTTGACATCGATATTCGTTTATAAAATATTCTATAGAGGATAATCTCTTTGAGATAAATGCATTCGTTATACTTTCGCCTAATATACCGAACCATAATAATTTATTTCATATAAATTTATGTATGACCAAGCAACTCCCATATTAGAAAAATATTGAATGTATGATGGGAGATGAGAGACGACAACAAAAGTGATTGAAGTCATTGCCTTAATTATAACATCGGGCAATGAAATCGTGGGCCAAGCTAGGAAGGTAGAGGCATTAAATATATCAGCAATAAACAACATCACACTAGAAGACTAGGCACACAAATAATAAAGAAACTTTTTGAAAATTTAAAAGGCCAATGGAAAAACGATCGAGCTAAACTGCAACAAACAAGGGGTTATTCAGAAGGGTAAAAATGCCTGTTAAACACGTGTAGAGATGGCCATTAAGAGTCGATATATAGATAACGATATTATCGATACGCTATTTTACCATCGATAGTATCTACTCCGATATTAGTTAGAACCTTCTCAAAACAAGACCACCAATTGTCAAAGAAATCTATGGATAATGCGAATAAATTACCATTTGACTAGATCTATGGGTGAATGGAATTTCTGGAAAAAACTGAGAATAGCGATGGACAGGAACTAGAATATTAATTTTACTTAGGAGGGAAAAAGAATTGATATTTCCATTAATTAAAGAGGAATATAACATCTATTTTCATGCGCCTAAGTGGTAGAGAATCAATATTTATATTGATATGCATATTTCAAACTTTGTCTATTTAATTTGCTTTCAACGTAGAAAGATAATATGGCCACCCCCTCCTCCCCCCTAAAAAAAGATGAGCTGTTTAACCTATATAACCTCGTTATTTTGACCTTTTGGAATAAAGATCACGCCAAACGGATCAATATTTTTGTAAGCTACCTTTTTTTCGATTGTTTGATCATATTATCTCACGATTCCAGTGGAAAGCAAATGGGTATTCAAGTGCTCTACGATGAGATGAAGCTTATACGATGTTAGATGGATGTTAATAATGTGATAAAAATAGGTCTGCACAACGGACTAAATGGAGATCCACGACCAAATTGTATTCTATGCTTAGCGATCTGTAATGTAATAAGTATGTGGAGTATATATGAATCTTCTAGAGAAAAAGTGATTAGTTGGTGAGAATGTAGTGTAGACTTGCGAAACATTACTAGTAACCCATAGCTATAGTGAAAGTTTTTAGTTTGTTACTGTTCAGATGTAGGTAATCTAATAATTACTAAACAGTTTGTCCACTTAAAGTAAATCTTTTGATAGTTATAGTCATAATATCAATCAAAAACAACCAAGAGATACTTACTATCATAGCAACTGAGACATATTTCTCGACTTGGTCAATAAAGTTCCTTACGTTGGTGACATAAAAGTTAAAGTCTTCGTTCACGTGACCCAAAACGGTCTCACGGGCAGCATCCGCACCTTTGTTATAAACTAGCCAGGCATCTGCAAAAGCATGGGAAGAGGCCTGCTTCAGAAGTTGGTCTTTTTTCACAGCGGCATCCCTTCCTTCATCATCTAGCTGTTGCAATAGTTTGTTCAAAATCTCCTCCAATACGATGTCCATTGGTTTCAATTCCTAAACAGAATAATCCTTTAGACAATTATTAAAGAATACTTGAAAATGTTTTTAAACAATATAAGAAACTCGAAATTCTCAAGCGTTATCATTTCAACATTTATGTGTCATTTTAGTGATATTTCTAGTTGAAAAATTTACAAAATTTGTATAGACAGTGAGTAACTTCGTTTCTAGATTAGGTTTTTGCAGTATTGAAAGATTTCTACTGTGAATGAAAGTATAAATATTAGCACTGGTAATATCGCTAAAATTCTATTCCTATTTTTGTTTATTCATGATATTTACAACTGTATTAAAAAAAAAATACATTAAGTAAATTTGATAACAGAAAATAATAAAATAACTTGTTGAGAAACTACCAACTGGTAGCACTCTAAAAACAAAATGTATTTACAATAAGAGATCTCGAGGCCATCTTCTTTTCAGACGCTTCAGAGGGTTATCAGGAATAGAAGAGGAAGCAAGGTTAGAGACGAGAGGATTCGGATGGTTCTGAAGTTTATTATGGAAGGATTGGTATTTGGATTGTGCCGAATCGGAAACATAAGGAACATTAATGTCATTATGGATTATTTTATTGGTGACAAAGTAAGGAGTATTGAGGATTTTCCGAAGGATTTTGGATTGTAAGGATTGGATACGAGAGGAATTCGATGGCTTAGTGGAGCCCCAAAGCTCAACTTCGTAAGTCCAAATAGGTCATATTGTAGTCATGTATATAAGTCTTTTGTAATTAACTGGAAGCTTAGAGCGTTTGTCTAGTAAGTGTTGGAGTAGTCGGATACGTCGAGCGGTTTCTTGTCGTTTCAGTCTGGTCCAATGAGATGAGGATGGTCCAAGGTATCGGATTTGTCCAATAGGGATAAGTGGGCTATTATTAAAGGATACTGTGGGACATGAGGTCATAGGTTTATCGCTAAAATTAAAAATAAAAAAATGTTGAAATTAGAGTCATTGTGTAAACTGAAAAGCTCAAATAATGTCTATACCAGAAATTTGTTCCAAATTAATAATTTATCGAAATTCTGGAGTACGAACAAAACTTTGATTGTAAATTGGTAAAAAAGGAAGTTCGAAATCCTAATGATCTAACATTAAATCGATTATATTCACAACCAAGTTTTCAACCAATTAATATCTATCTATTTATATATTAATTTATTGTACATATACAAAGCGAACGGATCGTAACGAAGACATCACACTTCTTATTTCTCTCTTACTATAGTTAAAAAATAACAATATGAATAATTATAAGAGTATAATAATATAAATCCACCATAAGGCACGATATATAGTATTGATTCATAAAGAAATTAAAAAATTACCTAAATTGTGGTTATGTTGAGAATATAATCAACTTTCAAGAGATAATATAATATTTAGATTTTATCATATTATTTTTCTCACTTTTTGCAGAAAATTAACATTTTCTATTTACATTACATTTAAATTGACAAATTTAAAGGCTTTCAAGAAAATACTTTAAAGTGTCCATTTAAAAATTTAGTTTACTGGGTGCTCGATTCGGTCCATAGGCATTCAGGGCCAAAATAATATTTAAAAAAATAAAAATAATTTTTCATTCACTTACATTTATGGCCACCTCGACGTGGTATTTCATTGTTCTGATGTCGGAGGTGGCTGACACGATAACCGCGTTGGCATCATCGGTGACGTGATTGATGAGTGTTGTCGAATCTGTAAGTGGGTTCTTCATGAAAGCAGGAACATCATCCTGAAGGTGCTTATATACTAGTTGGATCAACTCCTTCGAGCGAGTCCTGATTCCCCGTATGTCTTCTTCGAGAGTGTCCTTCAGGTTGTCGACGACATTCTTCGATGAAGAAGAAGCACTAGCGACCAAACCGACGATGAGGAGAGTGACGTGGAATACCTTCATTGATGAAATCTCTTCGGTAAGTGATGAGTTTTGCTACAGCCTTCGTTTATATACACCTAAGTATGTTTGTAACCTTGACGCAAATATTAACGTTTATGCTCGATTACCTAACAACTAAAAAACAATTTGCTAAAAGTACATTTGGTAGATATTTTATTTATTTTCAGCGTGATTATTCAGACTGACACATTATAAAAGTTTTTTATATTGCACGTTTTTAAAATATAAAAGCTTTCCGATAGTTAATTGCAGTTATTTTTGCAGAAAACACTTGTTCTTTTAGATGACTAGATAGAGAATAACATCATTTCCTTATACAGCTTGAGGCGAATTTCAAAATTTTTCCTAATAAACCTCAAATTAATTAATATGGACTTAAAACTTATTAAATGCTTTTTTTAAACGGGAGCGGGGAAGTTTTTTTATTAGTAGGGTAACTGTAGTACAGTTGAAGGGTTATAAAAAAAAAACAGAAATAATTAAATAAATTAATATTAATAATAAATAATTTAATTAATCAAATATAAAAACTGTGACTCAGTTAAAAAACACAAATCTTCAATTTCTTACTCTTCAGCTGGAAATTGTATAGTTATTTATACGAAGTTTTTTGTAGATATTGACATGTACTATCACTATTTTAGAAATGTTCTCCTACTTACGAGACAACTACAAAAATATGTAGTGTGAATGTGCAGCCTAATTATAACTTCACTATAACCATTAATCCATATTATGGCAGAATGTTATATGTTTAAATCAATAAATAAAAATATATATTGTGAATTAATTTGTCAAAATAACTATTATTGATAATAATAGCAGATAAAGGATGAATGAATGAACCATTATTAAAATGAAAGTGATTGCCGAGAATTGCATATTCAAAATTATATAAATATTTTTTTTGTGGCTTACAAATTTTAATTTATTTTTGTATTAGGAGAGTAAGAAATTGCAGGAGCTCTCCTATTAGCTCTATAATTAGCATTAATTACATTGCTGTTCATTTAATTGTATATGAGTTGAGCTCCTCTAACCTCCTGCTTTCCTAATACAAAATAGCAATTTTTACTCTGGTTTCTTCGTTACAGAATTGAGCTCCCGTAACCTACTACTCTCCTAATAAAAAATAAATATTGTAGACCAAAACTGTGTACGGAAAATGGTATTCACCCGGAGGTGGTAGTTTGATTTTATCTAGGTGACAGCAATTATTTTTCGATCTAGGTATTTTCCTCTTGAATACAAGATATTAATTATTATATTATATATAATATTATATAGTGATATAATTATAGTTATTATGAAATAGAAAAGAAAGCGCAATATAAATTTATAAATAAAATGCTCAACTGGACCGGGTTGAATATATATCATGGTTACAAATTGACAATAAGAAAAACTATAATAATAATATAAATTGGCAATAAGGCGTGATGTATCATATTGATTTTAGAGAAAATAAAGATTTGTCTGAAATTTCGTTTCGTTTATTTTATTTAGTTTATTTTGATAAAAAAAAATAATACTATATGCACTACAGAATACATCTAAATTGCAGTTATAAAATTTAGAAAAACGAGTATTACAATTAAATTAACAGTTGTATAATTTGTAAAAAGGATGTTGGTTCGCGGCTGGGGTACCTCCTAGTATATTAATGAAATAATTTTTTTTTTTAATTAAAATATAATTCATTTATTGCGTTATATTTATAACAATAATAAAAAGTATTTCCAACTTTAAGTCAGTTTTCGAGGTTTTAAAAGAAAAAAAAAATAGTTGTAAATGATAGGAATAAAAAATTACATACAAATTATTATTTTTTTTTTTATAAAAATGTCTGCTAATATCAACAGATTTCTTTAGTACTGAAAAGTACAGAAATAACTTTACTCAAATCGAATCAATACGATTCGGGTTATTAAATTAAAAATTCAATTAAAAAATCCATTAAAATATTCAATTAAACCTCTATATTGCATGAGATTTCTGTGTCCAACGATAAGAAATATACATACATATATTATATAGCCCATATTATATTACATTAACCTATATTACAGCCTAATCAAATTATCACAAAAAAGTGGTCTAGCTTGCAAAAGGTTAGGTAATCAAAATTTCTTTTTTATATGGTTAGGTACGCGGTGACTATAAAGAGTTTTCGCTTGAAAATCTTGTGGGTTCGCTGCAGTGCTCCAAAAACCATTCGGACTTTTTTTGTTTACTCTAAAATCTCCTTTTAATGCGACATATATAATAAGTGGTTATATTTAATCTTAAACAGCATAAAATTACCTAACATTTTTTTCAAAACCCAATTGGGCCTCCAGCAAACTAGCCAGCTTTCAAAGAGGTTGCTTTTAAAGTTACTATATTTACTATATATTTATACTATATATTTAAAGTAACTTTACTATAAAACATAAATGAAGATTTGTGATTCAGAAGGCAAAGAACTTGATGAATATATCGATGAAATCTTAGCTATCTTTACATTACATTTTGGTGGATATTTTAAACATAATAAACAAAGAATCAAGCACAGCAAAACCTTAAAATAACTTTCTCCGTGCGTTTAAGAAGTTAGCTACACTTTACAGTAACTTAGGCTGCGTTAAAATCGAGAGTACTAGCGTCCATATTAAATAATGTTCTCGACTTTACATATTTAAGAGGTTTACAATAGTTAGCACTGGTTGCATGAACACTCGTAGTGTTTTAGAAAGAAAAATTGTGTTCTGCTGAGGTTTTATTTCAGGGCGTTTTTCGCTATTGTTGGACCTTTATTTACAAAAGGATCTTAATTTTCAAGTTAAAACGAACTGAAAAACTTGACTGTCCCGGTGTTTTTTATTACCAAGGGCACTTATTTTTTTATGTTTTATTATTCTCTAACTACCGAGCTTTGATAAAAGGCCAATTATGACGAAATTAAGCCAAATGCTGAACCTCAGTGGCTAAAGAACTAAACCAAGTCAAAGTCGATGTGCTATGTTTAAACTCCATTTTGGGTCAATGCGGCCACTTTTTTTTTATTGGAAAATTGGCGTTTTTTTTTTAAATAAATAATACAAGGAACAGAATTGTATGCAATTGATTGTGATGTGGGAATAGCGAAATCCTTTTTTAAATTTATTTTGTAATACTTTTCAAAACGCTTCCCGACTATCGTCTACCTATCCAGTCAACGGCTCATTGTCTTCCAGAAATAGCTCCGAATTCCCTGAACCAGATTCAAAATGGAGTTACAGAATTCTTCCATTCAAAACTGAAAGAACACTATTGAGAAGAAATCGAAAGGGTTAATTTTGAAAGCTCGATAGTTCATTTCCTGTTGGGTTTAGAAAAAAATTTAGTTATTATATGAAATAACTTTTTATTTAATAAGCTGTTTAAGATTAAATATGACAATTTTTTATCTATGACACTCTAAAAAGGAGATATTTAGCGTATGCCAAAAAAAATTCAAAATTTCAATGGTTTTTGGAGGCTTTCCAAGGCTTTCAAGGGTGGAAACTTGGATTTTTTGTATTAACTACATACCTAACATAATAAAAAAGAAATTTGAACTACCCGATCCTTTGCAAGGTAAGATGCCAAATTTGACCGAGCTATTAGTGGTGCCCAGGTCAAGACTGAGCTCCTATTTATAACTTCATATAAAATTATAATTTTATTTTTTAGATAATTCATATTATTCTATTATTATAAATTGTAATTAATTCTTAATATCATATTTATTTTTTAATATCGTATAAGGTACATGAATTGGTTTGTAATTTAATTTTATCTTTCCAATTTTGTGCATTATAAATATAGTGAAAGTATTTCTTTTATAATTTCAATTGTATTAATTGTGTAATTTTATTTTACTTTTTTTTAACTCCAATTTCCTTTATTTTAGTATGGAATTGTGAACTTCTTTTTTTCTTTAATATATATTTTTGTTTTTAACTGCTATTCGGCATTTTATTTATACGTATTTTTCCTTATTTAATTATATTATTAATATTACCAATATATTTGAAAATTATGGAATTAAATTATGGAAAGGTGGGCGGACTTGGTAGTTTATTTTCATAACACCCGCCGCCGCCACACAATTATTGAACCGACAAATGAATTTTTTTGTATAATTTTTTTAGAACGATATTATAAAGCGAGTATTTATAACTAAGATGAACGATGTTAGACACAATAATTTTAATGAATTTATTTTATTTTACCAACTCTGCCAATTTCATTAAATTTGCGTTAAAAAGATTTAACTTTGAAAGCGAAATCTGTAGAAATATAGGGGGAGCAAAAATGGAACATATGTTTAAAAAATATACATATAGGGTGTTTCAGCGTTAAGTGGCCTAACTGCAAAACAAGAAAACATTTTCCTCTGAAGGTATGTCCACAAACTCTTTGCTAAGGAGATATTCCCACCTAAAGATTTTCGTTGTTATGAATTATTTACGTTATATGAAATAAATAAAACGTATTTATTTTTTCTAACGGCTTTATTAATTAAACGTAAACATTAACATTCATATAGGGGAGTTGGGTAGCTCAGTGGTAGTGGTGGTGATACTGAGCTTCCAATGCTGAAGATTCCAGGTTCGAATCCCGGCTCATGGCAGAAAATTTATTTATCTGTTTCATTGGTCGTGGGGCGACTCTGGGTCGGAAGACCTTTCTGGGGCACACCCAGCCTCTATAAAGTGGGTACCCTTAATTAATTAAGGAGGAAAAACTTGAGCGTGATCTCGGTCAAATCACCTCCTTGTACAATGGTACATTCAAGTACAGAAATAAACATTTTCAATTAGAAATAGACAGAACATCCATTATTTCCTCTAGTGGCATTACAGACCTAGTAGATCTTATGTTGCTTTAATAAGCCACCTTCATCTCTGCATATCTTGAGCTATATATTTCTATTTATCCGCATTCAGCTCTACTGCATCCTTGTAGATCCGATCTATCCATCTGGTATTTGGCCTTCAGTGTGGTCTGTTGCCTATTATTAAGGCATTCATTGTTGTTTGGAGGCTTCCAGATGGATTACTCCAAGCTATATGGATTACT